GCCGGATCCCTCCCACGGCATGGGGTGGGCTCTCACGAACACCCCCAAACCTGCTCAGCTGTCATTCAGAGCCAGCAGCCTCCGGGCCCCGACGGAGCAGAACTGGGGTCCCCTGCGTGGTTGGCCAGAGGGGCTCCATCCGGCTACTTGCACAGACGAGACCCCTGGTTGATCAGTGACACCCACCCCTCCCCTCGGACCCCCTGTGCCTGTCAGACAAGAGCCTCAAGCCAGCCACACACCACAAATCAGGGGCTTCGGCCTCAACCCCCCCCCCCCGAAGACCAGCTGCAGAAAAAGAAGGCAGAACAGTGGCCCTGGTGGGAGGAACAACGGAAGGGAAGGCCCCCCCGAGAGATCAAGCAGTGGAATCAATGCCCCCTCGGCCCTGGATCCAGGATGAAAAGGACCCACCGGGCACCCCCTCTCCCCGCTTGTCAGAGCTCTGCCAGTCTGCAGGGAATAGATCAGTGTTTCTCAACCTTGGCCACTTGAAGATGTCCGGACTTCAACTCCCAGAATTCCCCAGCCAGCATTCGCTGGCTGGGGAATTCTNGCACAAGAGGCTCTCTTGCCCAACTCCCAGCACCCCTGTTCTGATGGGGGGGCCCACAGAGCCCCCCCCCCGACTTTCACACACACACAGAGGCCCATATCCTCCACCGGGATATAAGGTCCACCCTTGACTTATGCTGCTTGTCAAGAGGGGGAGCCTCCCTGGCACCACCAGCTGGGTGAAGCCAAGCCCTCCAATCGTGCCCCCAGAGCCCCTGGCATTCCAGTGTCCAGAGAGGGCATGAGAAGGGCTTGGGGACTCGGTTCCAGCCACCAGAGTCTCGGCTGAAGGTCCCTGTGCCCCACCTGGGGAGGGGGGGCGACCTCCCCGGCCTCTGGGGAGACGGATGAGCGTCCCAAAGGCCCCTCCGAAATCCTGGCAGGAAGAGAGGGCACCGCGGGAGCCTCACGTGGCCCCACAATCCGCTCCTCTTAAAGCCGAAGCGAGTCTCCTTCCGTCACACTGTGCGCGTGGCTTCGGCCTGAGCCTGGCCGGCCCCCTGGAGAGACCGGGCCGAGCGTTCTTTGGACGGGCCCCGTGGGGCAGAGGGAGGGCAAACGGGCTCGGAGTGGAAGCCTCGCTCGAAGCGGACCAGAGGTTCCCCCTTTGGTCTCAGCCAGGACTGGATCCAGGCTGCCCCTCACGCCAGCTGCCCAGCTACAGCCCATTTTCTCTCCCCTTGTCCGCCCTGTGCGGCCGGGGCCTCCACCCCACGGAGGGACTCAAAGGGAAGGCAGGGCCAAGGACCTCCCATGAGTAAATGGGAGAGCTGTATCGCCCTCCCCAACCGGAAGCTCTAGTGGAAACTAGACAACCCCCCCCCCCCGTTGGCTCCTGGGTGATAATAATGAGGAGGGGGCTCCCATCCCCCACTAGCTCTTAGAAGGACAGCTGTTCAAAGCTCACACACGGGGCAGGGGGTCCTTGCTGCTTGTGCTCCCTGCTCTCCAGGGAATGGCAGCCCCTCCCTCTGCAGGGCTCCAGGGCACCACTGGCGGCCTGGGTCCCACCAGGACCAGGAAGGCCCGGGGGGGGGGGCACAGGGGAGCAAGGGAGGAGCCAGGACGGACCTCTGGGGGGGGGCTTGGTGGGGGGGGAGAAGGGAAGGACTACATCCTGGGTCAGACTGCCCAGCCCCAGAGAGGCCGGCTTCAGCAGCCGGAGAGACGCGGGGGGGGCTCCCCTGGGCTGGAGGCGGTCAGGGGTCCACCTGGACTCTTCCACCTACGGAGAGCCAGCAATTCTCCGAATGACTTTTGGGGGGGCTCCTAAGTCCGAGGGGAGGCTGCCAGGTGACGTCACAACCTGGGGGTGGGTTTTGTTTCATCCACCCAGCTTGGCTCCCTCTGGCCCCAATTCCAAAGACTCCCCCCCCCAAGGAAAAGAGGGGGAAGCAGGATTCCCCCCCCCCCGGCCTTGAACTTTGGCCTGAGGAACACAGCCAGACCGCCCCCCCCCCCAAATTCCTTTCTCAAGGAAAAGAGGCTGCAAAGGTCCGGCCACTCCAGGGGTCCCTGCAGAGAGCAGGATTCCTGGACAGGCACCAGCCCTTTGCTCCCCCTCACTGGGGTGGGGGGCTTCCCTGAGGAGGGGAAGACCCAAGGCAAAGGAGGGGCCCAGCCCAGCCTGCATCCCCCTGGGCTCTTCCGGCTGAGGAGGAGGAGGAGGAGGAGGAGGAGGCCGAGGCCTGCAGAATGGGTGGAAGCGCTTCTGCCGAGCTGAGCCATGGCTTGCTCTGCCCCCCCCCTCACCCCTCGCCATCCCCCTCCTCAGATGCGCAAAGCAGGTGTCCTTTCCAAAGAGCTCCAGTCAGCCTCGGCTGGGGAAACGCCTCCCGGGGAGCCCCTGTGCAGCTGAACCGGCTGCCCCGAAGGAGGACTGGCCTCCCTCCCTCTGCAGATCTCCCCCCCCC